CTGATGTTGAAGAAACTGTAGATTTTGGGTTCTTCAAGTGTTATTAGTACTAAGAAGCAATTTTAGGGTTCTTGACCAGTATAACTTATACTTTTTTCGATCTTTTTTATTTACATGCGTATAGATATAACAGAGCTGAATCTGCCAAAGTCTTGTAAGATATCTTTTCCGAATGGAAAGAATGACTTGATGAACTTTGAAGTAACCATTAAACCCGACGAAGGATATTACAAGTAAGTATACGAAACTCTTCATCTTCTCTGTTGCTGAATTTGCTTGAACACTGATTTGTGTTCTTCTTTTACCAAAAACAGAAGTGGTAAATTTGTTTTCACATTCCAAGTCTCTGCTGTGTATCCACATGAAGCTCCAAAAGTCAAATGCAAGACCAAGGTTAGGCTCTCTTTTTAATCTCTGAGATGATGTTTATCTTCTAATAATATATATGCTTTTATAAAGAATGTTATTATCGTTGGTAGGTGTATCATCCGAATATTGATTTAGAAGGAAATGTTTGTCTGAACATCTTGCGTGAAGACTGGAAACCGGTTCTCAACATAAACACTGTCATCTACGGTCTCTTCCATCTCTTCACGGTAACAAATCTCCCTGAACATATATTAAAAAACCGGTTCTCTATTGATTCTACTTTCTTTGGATCTAACTGTTTTTGGTTTTTACACAGGAACCCAATCATGAGGATCCTCTGAACCACGACGCAGCAGCGGTTTTAAGAGATAACCCGAAGCTGTTTGAGACAAATGTCAAGAGGGCTATGGGTGGTGGCTATGTTGGGGAAATCGCATTCCCTCGTTGCATGTAGGTAAGGAGTCTGCTTCGGTTTCAAAGTACTCATAGTTTTCTTCTCCTCAAGAAACTTCTGTTTTTTGCTCTTTTGTACATCTCCTTTTGACGTTAAAACTTTTTTTTTTTCCCTTGATTGGGATCATCAAGTGAGTTTAGGTATTTTCTTAAAGTCTTTTACAAATTCATTCAACTTGGTTATTCCATTCCTCACCAAATAGTAGCATGAGCATCAATTTTTAAAGTCGAACCGGAAATTAATCAAATATTATTTTCCCAAAAATTCGAAAAAGTTGGAGGTTTTTTCTTTATAGGGTTAATTTGCTCATTAGCCAAAAAAAAAAAAAATTAATAATTAAAGATTTAACAAAATTTAACATATGTGGTCTAATTATATCCATTGGATTTAGGATAAATGGTTAGATTTTTGATTATAGATTTTTGATTATAGATAAATGGTTAGATTTTTGATTATGTTGTAAAA